AGTCCAGAGAGGAGTGACCAGCAAGGAATCTATTCTGTCTTGAAAGTAAAAGCTTTTGTGAGGTGGAGGTAGGATCATTTAATAGTTTCTCTGGCAAAACCTCTCAAGAATAAATTCAAATAAAAGAAAAATGAATTACTGGGATAATTAGCAGAGTATTTTAGTTTTAGTTATTATGTACTGTTTGCCTGTCTGTATGATGAAACTTTTCAGTACTGGTAGGACCCAATAATGGCTAATGGACAATCACAGACTGGCATTGCAGGTGGCAGCTAGACCACCAGTGCAAGCTGGTTGTGCAGCTGGTTGTGCATTCCCAACAGAAAATTCCCTGATGCCTTCCTTGCCTCTGTTTCCCATTCTTTATCTTCTCCAAGGGCTGCTGAGCTGACTGCATAGGGTGGGGAGCAGAGAGGGCTCATACCAGATTAGTTTCCAGCCTGATCTGTGAGCTCTTCAGGCTCATCACACTGCTGAGCATTGGCAACTAGTGCAGAGAAGTGATAGAAACGTGCAGAGGAGGAAACAAAATGGGCAGCTGAACCCACAGCAGCTTCTTGTTAGCTCAGCTTATCCCAGCAAGAAAACTTGAGTCCCAGGCCATGTTTGCTTTTCCCCACTGTAACTGCCCAGCAGAGTGCTCCATCTCTGGACAGGCCTCATCAACACGTGCCTGAGCGGCTCTAGAGAACTAGGGCTGCCGAGGCTTTCAAAACCAGTGTACAAGGCACTGCCATCTCCAGCCTGGTGATCCCTGTGGGGACAGGAGTCTTCCCGGGAGACTGGCCCAGGCCAGGGCCCACAGACATATGATTGGTCTGTGGCTCTGAGGCAGGATGCCAGGGACAGGCAGCGCTCCAGCTGAACCCTAGCTGGAATCTGCTGTTGGTTTGTACAGTATTTTGGCCTCCTCGTGGACATTTTTCCACCTGAGTTTAGCTATCCATGAGTATTTTCAACCAGCTTGTCATCAGAAGTCTTCAGTTTGGAGTAGGGACAAAGAAGAAACAAGGATGAAATTAATTTTTTGAGTTACAGGAAGCAACTTTAAATTTAGCTTATGGCTCTCCTCAAAGAGCAGGTCTCCAACAGATGCTTTTTTCAACTAAGTTTTGTTTAACTATAACTGTCTTTAAACGTGCCTGAAGTGATAATTGTGGGTTCTCCCTTTGACACCAAATTTGAAATTGCAAACGAGAATAAAAAGGGAAGTGTTCCAACAGGAACTTCACTGGAGCTACCACGGGTCAACTGAAAAAATCTGTAAAACAGCTTTAGTTTTGTTTGAAATTTCCCTATGACTTGTGAAAATTATACCAAACATGCAACATTAAATTCCTGTTTATCTACCAATTAGCAGGAGTTCAATGCAGCTCATCTCCATAAAGAAAGAAAAACAAAAACAAGAGGGAAAACAGTGCCTGGAAAGGGTTACTTAAAGAATTTTTCCCCCTCTTCCTCAAGGCTGTAACAAAACAGGCTTGTAGCCGTTATGGGTAGGGCCTTGCTTGTACTACTGCAAGAGTTTGCACAGGATTTAACTGTTTCATTGTGGCTGCAGCAAAAAATGCAGTATCTCCCTGCAGAACAGTGGGAACTGCTCCAGCTATTCACAGACCAGAACTGGAAGAGCTGCTAACAAAGGAGGTTTATGTGGAAACCAGCACTATTCCCACATACTCAGCTCACTGGTTTCTGTCTTCCTCCTCCTTCCCCTTTCCTCTTCTTCCGTTTAGAATTTCCTTTGCTTGTGTATCTGTTTCTGAATTGGCTTAGACTCTTGTCCTCACCTAACCTTTTAACTCTTCCGTTTTTTGTCCTCTCCTTATTTCATTTCTTCTTGTGGCTTTTGGACACCCAAGGTAGCTGTAAACAGGTTTGTTTGTTTGTGGTGTTTGTGTGTGTGCACAGGCTGGTGGGAATGTCCCCTGACTTGTGTTAGTTTACATTAAGGCTGTAGACAACTTCCATTTCTCATCAGTCTGTCCTCCTCACCCTCGATACCTCTTTTTACCTCCTTCAATGATCTGTGCCTTTTTCTTACTGTGTGCTTTTCTCTCACTTTTCACTCTCACAGCAAATATGCTCATTCCAGTGCTATCTTCTTCCTTGCTGGCTTTTCTCTGCAAATCAGAAATCCCTTCTGCCCTTCTTCATGACAGAGACATACTCCTCCACCTACTGATGACTCTTCCCATGTTGCAGCCTTACCATTTCCTTTTTGGGGTTGTTTTTCTGCATGGGCATGTCCAACTGTTTCTTCGTGTTCCTCAGCTTTTGTCCTCCAAGTCTGTAATTCACGGGAATGGTCACTTCTACCATGTCCTTAACTCTGCCTTTCTTCCCTCTGCATGCTGGTAGTGTTGCGGATACGTGTAGAGTCGCAGTTCCATTTTCACCTGTCTCCAAGGCAGAAGGTGTACTGTCTGCAAGTCAGGCTGGCCACTGAAAGCAAGCCCCTTCTTTGCCTGAAACAACTTTTTGTAGAAGTCTAGAGTCACTTCCTCCTGATAAAGTGGTATGTATGCCTGGGAATATGACTTCTGGGTAAAGCAAGGTGTGGCTCACTGATATAACTGCTCTGGCTGGTCACGTGCTAGGAACACAAGCAGCAGGAAAGCTTAAATGCTGTTGTTTCCTGCATGTCCTGGTAAGTGTAATGCAAAAACAGTCACTCAGAATAGCAACTGTCACTTGAAAAATATGACTCATTTTGACACTCTTGTATGTTTTAACTGTATACCATTTGTAGGGCTCTAATGACTCAGTGGGAAGATCTGCCTGAACAGCTTGTGAAAGGCAGGTCAGTGCTAGAATTAGTCTGAGTCCACAGCAGCTCTTCTAGGCCCTCAGTGAAAGGGGCCCCTGAGCACTGACAGCTGTATTCCAACATAGGGCAAAAAGCACCAAGAGGAGAAGAGACTTTCAGTACTAACCTGAGCAGCCACTGAAAACAGATGCCTTTTTGTCTGGCTTTTGTTTTGAAATGGCCAATAAGAACAGATCAGCACTGGTACCATTGTCTGTAATAAATGTGTCTTCACATGCAGTGGAAGACTGTGGTGTGTTGTAAACAATCACAGCACTGAGTAAAGCATAATTGATCACACAAGTGCCACAAAGGATACATTTGCCAAAGCATGGTTTAAAGATTGGGGTCTGTATAATAGAGCTGGCACACTTTAGACACGGTGAAAAGGAGCTATCAGCATCTTCTGGGATGAAATATAGGATGGATTGTCATAAAAAGACTTAATAACTCTTTACTATTATTGCATTTTCTTCATCACAGTAAAGCTTTATCTGCTGCTTGTCAGAAGGTCCCTCACACTTACAAACTGGTATTTTGTATTCAGAGTCTCTAAAAAATAAATTACATGCTTCATCTCAAATGCAGACTTAGTTACTGTTGAGCACTGAAAGATCTTCTGTATGCTACGGGTCTTGCTCATTGCTATATTCTTCAAGCTTTATGTTGGGATCCCTCTGCTAAAATTAGGGATGGCAAATTCAGGTGTTTAGAGACAAAGCATAAACATCTGGGTGATGCAAGAAATATTACAGCTTTCTAGAAGATACATTGTCTGGCCATATCTTTTTCTGTTTCTTCTTTTCTTCCACCACTGAACAGAAAAACTTTTTCTCACAAATGAAAGCTTTGCTCCTCCTACCTTATGCTGGTAAAGGTCAAGTTAAGCTGCTTTGAAACTCTGGGTATCAATACAACTCTTTGTGGTGCAGATAAAAAGGAAGATTTTTTTACAGATGCAGATGGTTTTGAAAGGTGCAACATAAAAATGTCTGTCCACCAGACAGAGAGAAATGATCTGGCCTAAATTCTGAGGCTTCAGGCATAAAAGTTATTGCATATATAAAAGAGAGAGGTGGTGAAGATCTGAAAAAACACAGCTGAGGTAGGAAAGCCTATCCTTACTCAGAATGTTTGGCCTGACCCCAAAAACTGGCCAAGAGATCAATATAAGAAGAATACTTGTATTTGTAAGCAGGTTCTGTGTCTTATTTTCTGCTGTTTGATTCATTCTAGGCACAAAAGTTATCACTTGGCTTCTTCACCACTTCCTTCTCCCCCAGATTAGAGCAATCAGTGGAACACTGAGTTTTGGTTAGCAGCTTTTAGCAGAACAGTGACAAGCCCCATGGTGTTCCCCTTCCCTCTGTATGTAGCTGTACTAGCAAATTCAGTCTGCCCAGCCTTCTGCAGTCTCTCATAGGAGACAAGCATCCTAGAAGCTGTGGTTTCTCTGACAGGAAGTGGGACCAGCTTCCTGTTTCTTATCTTGTGACACCCACAATGGATCAGTGTCAGCCGTAGCTGCTCACAGGTGGCACTCTACAGAGACACACCAAATTAGTTCCACCCAGCTTAGCAGATGCTCAGAGGGACTGACCACATCCGTTATTTTCAAGTCATGTTGTCAAATCAGAGAGGCATACACTGTGCACTTCAGAGATGAGGATTAACCAGTAGCAACAAATGGAATAAAACTAAGCGAAGGCATGTTTTGTACATTTAAGCCCAGATAGTATGGAAGAGCTTTTTAAAAGAACCTCTTTCATTCTATCCACATTAATTTGTTACCTGTTTATCAGTCCTGTTCACAACTGAGAGAAAACTGAACTGGCTTTCGGTTGTTTATCTTCTCTAACACAGTTACCTGTAATTCCTTTTCTCGGTAAGAGTTCTCACAAACCTGAACATATTAACAGGTATGTCCTTATTCAAACAAAAATCAGCAGACTGGACTACTTATAGAAAAAACCCTCCAAACCTGCCATGCCTTGCCAGAGTATAATCATCTGTCCCAGGAAAAGTGTTCTCAGAACAGTATTTTTTATTCTTCGTTGTCAATATTATATAGCTGAAGATGATGAAAATCTTCAAGAATGTTTTACTTGAGTTTACAGACACTCTACAGAAGGCTGTGGTGAAATGGCTGCTGGACAAATTACTACAAAACTAATGGATGACACTTTTAAGATCACAGTTTTCATTGTTTTTACTGTTGTTAGACAGCATTTGATAAACTCAGCAGAAATCCTTCCTGCCATCATATCAGGAACTTGAACACCTCCTGTAACAAAGAAAATTATGTTCAACAGATGCTGTAAGACCTTTTGAAACCTTCTGCACCATTTTTGGCACTAATTTCCAGGAAAATTCACAAACAGCCTGTCCCTTTTGGTCTGACTAATGGCTTGTATTCTTTCCCAAATGGATTCTTTGAAGAGAGGCAAAATGCTCATGGACAAGCCATGCTGAAGGAGGACAGGGAGAACTCTCTAAAACCTTACCAGAGCCTCCCTACCAAGATACAACAACAAAATTCTGCCCTAAAACTAGAGGAGGGATGGGAAACTTTTTGTCCAGGGGATGCCTACACTTCACAGTTTAAGTAACACACTTCTTTGTGTTACTACTGAATAACACTAAGGTTATAACACTAAGTATTGTTATCCTTCGAAAAACACAAAAACAAGAAAATATTTTTGAATTAACAACTGCAATTAGTGCATGATCAAGAGGAATATTATTAGAAATAATTATTCTGTTCTTCTGACGTTAAAATATTAACCTCTGTTGATTTTTACAACAGGATGCATGTGAGTATCTCAGCTATTTCTGGGATGGAGTACTGAAATACATCCAATCCTAACTGCTAAGACCAGGAATGAAAAAGAACAGAGTAAAACTAGGCAGTTAGTGAAAGACTAGCATTATTGAAATCATTACTTACTCTCAACCCTGCACATTCCAGTGTTGCGTGGGAATAATTGTGAAATGGTAGGGCTGTTACTAGGAAGCTGAAAGACAGACATTTCCAGCAACACCAAGCCCCGGAGCAATAGTTAAGTATGAGCCTATGCATGAGAAAGCCCTGGTAATGGCATTTGCTCAATAAAAAAATACATCAAAAGGAGGAAATGGCAGATGAAAATAACCTTTTCTATCTCCAAGCCTTCTATGGAAAGTCCCTACTTATGAGCAGTATTCATGCAGAAAAGCCAGTGCTCATATCCTCTGTTTACTCTCACAGATACTGATTAACTTTTCCTGGGCTTTGTTTCCCACCTTTTCCAGGTATCACCCAACCATTTCCTGCAACATGAATCCATCCAGAAGCAAAGGGAAAGCAGTGAGGCTGCAGGAAGTAGGCCAGGGTGTTCACAGGCATGTTGTTCTGCGGCTGGTGCCGGCCCCGGGAGAGGCCAGCGTGCACCCGGGCCTGTGCGCATGCACGTGCAGCTGCCTTGTGGGTACACTGCAGCATTGACATCCCCGCACGGGCACGCGGCCAGCGCGGCAGCACAGCATCAACCGACTCCTTCTTTTTCTAATTAACATTTGTCAAACTTGGAGAGAAGCCCAGCATGCAAAATTTGGATGCAAAATTCAAAGAGCACAGAAGCTGGAGATGTTCACACACAAGCTCTTCATTTATGCTTAGGTATTTTTATAGGTCATGCACAGATGACTTACTTGCTCTTACTGTAACTTACAATTGGCAATACTAATCATTTTTTTGTATGTCACAGTGAAGAGTAGAGCTGTACTCCAAAAAAGTAGCAAAGTTTAATAGTAAGTTGGACATAAAGGTTTTCCCTTCCAAGAAAAAGTTTCCCTTTAGTTCCCCTTTTGGGTAGGTGAAGAGGGGAAGGCCTTTAACGCCATCAGCAGACAGGAGTGAGAATATTTTGACCAGCTCTAGGAGTTGTTTGTAACAGTGTTTTCTTACACTCACGTGAACTGATCTAGCTTCCTGCACAGCACTCAGCAATGCAAGTTCAAATGATTAAGCTGACTCAGTGCTGAAACAATGAATTCTTGGCATATGCTTGAAAGCCACTTTTGACCTCTTGTGATTTCAGTTGCCAACTCTGTAGAAGGTTTTCTGTGAGAGAAATGGATTAAAAGGTAAAAAAATAGTCCTTTGCGCTTTTTATCAGCACAGCAATTCATGCTATCTGCTGACATTAGAAGAGAATGGGGAGTGAGGTATTATATTTATTAAAGTAAAAAGGTAATGCATGTAATCACTCTCAGGTATCCTAAATGGCCTATAAACAGCACCTCTAATAGAGTACCTGGCACTAAGCACTGGGAACTGTTTCTAGTTCCCAGCAGGGCACTTACATCCTGGCCTAGATAAAAGGCAGCGAAATAAGACATTGGGTCATGTTATGAGGTTCAGAGGTACTTCAGAGCTGAAGAAACTCTAAAAAGTAATATGCTGCAAGAGTTCCTGGAACTTTAAGGAGTACATGCAAGACAGTGAGCTGGCTACTGATGAGCCTCCTCAATAACATGTTTCCAAAACCCAAGTAGTCAGCTCATACCAGGGCCACATACAAGACTGAACTATTGTAGTCCTCATGGCAAGAACAAAACTCATGGCTTCTCTAACAAAAGTGAGCAAATGAATCTCCTTCTTTCTCTCTCTGCACGATTTCTGGGTCTGTCTACAGCCAGCTTCTACTTGGCTTCTACATAAAATCTGAAAATACCTTCGTCCTGATGCTCCAGAGAACTGAAAATTTTAAGAGACCTTGGAAGAGGACAAAAGTTAACTCTTGCGAATAGTCCTTTCCAAAATCCTCTCCAGATGAAGAGACTCTTTTTATAGAACAGCTTTGTGTGCATCCTACTGACTTAGGGACATCTTTGTTTTATTGGTCTTCCGTTCTGACACTGCATTAGATAATGAGCAGTGCAGGATGTAATGTGAACCAAGTGAGTTAATTTTAATGTGGCTTCTGCTTCCTGCACTGATTCAGCCACGGACTAATTACACAGATCTGCTTCTCTAGAAGGGCCTTTCAGGCTGCTTGTGACTAGCCTCACAAGCAGCTTGTGACAAGCAGCTCCCCTCTGCTTTTAAGGAAGATGGGGTGGCCATTTGCTGGATCAGTAAGGCTGTCTTCAAAGCAGGTCAAGTGCTTTTACTATCTCAAGGGGCAAATTCCCCTCTTTGCCAGACGACAATTAAAGGCCATGTATCACTGATACCAGCGATAACAACAGAATTGTTCTACTTAAATGACAGCAATTTCAGACAGTACCATTAAAAATAATGTAGATCAATTCCAGATAATTAGCATGCTATTTTAGAATTACTTTGGCACAAAGGAGGCTTTTCTTCCAGAGATTTTTGTCACATTAGAGGGTTTTTTGCCATGCTTGTCTTAACAGATTCATTTCTAATAGAATAAGAGGCTCAGTTCATAAGGAAAGGTTTTTGATTAATCACGTTATTGTATTAGCATGAAGGAGGAGTTTTTTTGAGGAAAGCATTTACATAAACAACACTTATACAACACAACATTGCAATCCAAAAGCATTAGTGAGCTGCTTTGCAGGCAATGCAGAAGGGAGTTGCTGAATCTTAAGTTGAAGTAAAGCCACTGTTAAAGTAAATATGCAGTAGCAACAGCACCTAACAAAGGGAACATGAATAATAACTTTTCTAATTTCAGCTGAATGTGGGAGGATATAGGTAGGCAGCAAAAGGAGCTGGAAACCAATTTCCAGTGTGATTCATAGAGATTTTCAGCAGTGGTTTGCACAGGTAAATTGTAATAGTCGACATTTACAGATATCTTTTCACTTATTAAAATTCCATAGGTTTAGGGCTTTTTCTTTTTTGGCAAATGAAATACTGAAGCACAACAGACTTGTACTGGCTCACAGTACTGACTGTGTCAAGTATCTTGACTTTCAGACACAGAACTGTTCCACTGATTCTGCAAAATACTGCTCACATTTAAGTGAGAGAAATGATTTGTCAGATGAATGGAACAGCCTGCAGAAGTTTGGTGAGGATTTTAACACCACTGGAATTGTACTAATATCACTCATGGCTCATGAATAACCAGAACCAAAAGGATGTACTAGTGCATTAATAAGGTTATTTCTTTGCTCCATACTCCTTCATTACCACTAACATCTAGAATCACTTTCTACCTACACATTTACTAAGACAAAGCAAGCTCCCTGTTGCCATTACATTCCCAGCCCCTTCCTCCTACATTTTTCTTCTTGTTCTGTATTACTCAACTAGATTTGGTAACATTTTTCCTTCACAGAAATCAAAAGTGGGTGTTCTGACACAAGAGAAAACAAGAATAATCCAAATCTGGTCCACAGAGCTCTTCTAAATACTATAAATGAAAGCAGTATTTGACCCAATGCTAATATAAAGTGATGCTGAAAAAGTGATGGCACATGGAAAAATATTAGAAAGCCAAGAGTAATTTCCAAACAATACTTTTCACCTTCTTTGGTCTTTTATAGATTTTGATATTAAGGCTGATGTTAGAGAAGTCTTGCAGCTGGTATCAGTTTTGACCTAGGCTGTTAGAAGGGGTAATGCTGTATTATTTCAGTATCACTGAAATAATTAAATACTTAATTAATTAAATACTTTCTCTAAATGTATGTAAGTGGCAATGACAGACATTTTACCTTCAAGTCCTTTGCAAGCAATTTCCTTTCAGCACTGCAGAGTATCAAGATTACAGGCTGTCAGCATCATTCTACAGACTTTCACACTACATAACATTCTCCAAGGAAATAGACACATCTTCACTAACAACAATTTATTAGTATATTTGGAAGAGATATGCAGTAAATCTTTACAGCACAAAACTAAACATGGCTCCCTCTTGAGTCTAAAGTGTGCATGTTACTTCTTTAAAAAGTGCATCTTTTAACAAGTATCGTGTTCAAAAGGAACAGGAAAAAACCACATCCTCCTACTGCAACATAAACAAAACCCGTGAACTCACAAAACAGCAAATGGTAGAAAACTGCATTTTGGGCAAACCAAGTCAGGTCCAACCAATTTTAATAGGCACCTACTGTGGCTTCTGGAACACTGTTGCATGCATATCTCTAGTCATATTGGATTTCTCTTTCAGCTTTGACTGCAGCAATGTGTGTTCCATCACACCAATCTGTATGTCCATCTGAATGGTTTCTTGCCTCAATTTTGTTAAGGCCTGTTTAATCTTCACTAGAGGAGCTGTCCAAAAAAAGATAAACAGTACAACTCTGTCAGCCATGAAACACAAAAGCATTGTTTGCTGTAATTTACTCCTTAAAATGGAAGAGTTGAATGAACAAAAGGGTGTTTTACTCTAAAGACATGATTGTACTGATACATCATTTTTAATATGCAAACCACTTTAAAGACAGAAATAGGCAATGACAATTTTGCTGTCTTCTTGACATCTAAGGGCTTCATAAAAATGTGCATCAACATTAAGACAGGTTTTTCAATGATGTGTTTTGCTCAGCTGAAAGCCTTATCCCCATAGCTGACTTGAGGTTTAGTAGAGAACTGAAGACACCTTCAGCAGGGTGTGAAAATCTTACCTGTGAAAAGCTATTAAAATGTCTTGTGCCTTGCATTTTGTTTCTAACCCCTCCCTTCCCATTAATATGATGCTGCTGCTCATATTAATCATCTTGCTCTCTGCAATTGCTCTTATTGTTATTTTAATGAAGTACATATCATAAAACTGTCACCAAGAAAAAGGATGTGTTGTCTGAAGCAAAAATGTACTTACCACCATCAGTCATACTGCTTCCTTTCTCTTCTGTTTCCTGCTTTACTTTCTCTAATGCTTCTGTAATCTTAAGAGATTTTTTTCATAATTAAACCAGATGAATATCGAATTTTAAAAAAGTCTCTGCTGAATAATTGCTTTAAAAAAACAAACAAACTAATCCATCTAACTTGTTACATAAAGAGGAATGATTTTTCAAACATTCAGAAATTAATTTAACTAAACTAATGTTGTTAAAAAATTACAGAAAAAGTGTAACAATTTGACCAAACACCATGATGTTACTGAAAATCTGCACATCCCCAATAAAAACAATATAAGTGTTTCAGTGTGATGCTGGATGGATGAACAAAGGAACCAATATCCCTACAGATCAAGATTCATCAAATAACCATGCTCACTGCCCTTCTGGAAGCATCAGGACTTTGGCATGTTACACTGGAAACCTGAGAAACAGCACTGCAGCATACGAAGGTGCAGCAGTCCAGCCTGCTGGCACTGGCACAGCTACAGGTATGTAAAGTCCACATTTGGAGAACAAAAGTGCATTTCAGCACTGTCTAGCAACTATAGACAATGAAAAAAAGCAAATATATGATTCTAAAGTATAGTCAAGGTAATAATTCAGTATTCTTGTCAATAGTGTGAAAAAAGCCCTTCATTAAGGCTTCAATAAGCCTTTTCAGCAATGAAAAGGAATCATTGCTGCATTGCTACTGCCTGCATGAAGTGGAAACGGTATTGCCAGGTAGGCTGAGGTCTTGATTGCATGCCTGTAAACATATCAGTACTAACATCCAGTGTGTCTGGTTTACCTCAGACATGTGCCACTGCACCTATGTAGTTTGAGGGATGCCAGCTAGTAACATATTCACCATTACTTATCAGTTAATCAGCTCCCAAAGCGCACACTGTAAATTTGAAGTCATCACAAAATACTTTTTCAAACTTACTTCCTTGAGAGTGAAATAGAAAGCAGATCTAATTCTGCAGAATTCATACACAGAAATCTTTGCTAGAAAACTCACATTAAACTGCTGCATTACTACTGCAGCTGCACTTGGTATCACTGTAGGTCCCTTCCAACTCAACTGTTCTCTCTTCTAAAACATTTCAAACTTGTACAATTTCTAAAACATTCTTATTGTATGACCTATTTTATGCACCTATTCCTGAGGCTTCATTGTCTAGTAAGTAAAGCTGGTATCTAAAATCCAAACAGAGCCATTTAAAAAATCTGTGAATTGGATAAAGAGTTGAAGTATGTGGAAATTAGGCTGTAATTCTAAATGAAATGCCATGAAACACTCAACATGGTGAGGCAGTCAGGAGACAGATGTTTATTTAAATTTGTCAGAGCACCAATATAAAGGAAAAAACAGAAAATTAGATTTAGGTAATAAGATAATTTGATGTATGGAAAAATTTGATGTATGGAAAAAATTACTGTTTAGTCAAATATTGCTTTAAATGCCTGGAAGATAAAAATTTCAAACTGTTAATTTTAATGAAAAATAAGAATTGAGCTTTTCTTCTTCCAAAGAATTTATGGGCATGATTTATTAATCCCCAAAAATTCTAGGACATAGGTTATAAAATAAGAACACATACCTTCATTTACAAACTGAGCTCACACTTCACGAATTAAAAATCAATGGCAGCCTGGATTTAAAATTTAAGGACTGGACTAGATCACCTCCTCCAAATAAAGAATAATAATCTTTAACATGAGAACAAATCAGAGAGAACTGGTTTCATTAAACTGCAACCACTAAATCCTAACTCTCTGAAGACTGTTTTAAAGTAAGATGTGTTTTACCTCAGAAAGCACTCTAATCCTTTCAGTTACTCCTCCACTTCCCTCCTGGTACTTCTCTTTAGCCTGGAAAAAAACATGTCTTGGCTGTAATGACAGAGTTGGAGAGATGTATGCAGATAGTTCAGAGAAAACCTCAATACTTGCTCTCATATGTTTCAATTCCAGAAACTCTCCCACAAAGCCCCAGTGAGGTTTACAAATGAGGACAGGGTTGAAACATCAGCCCTTGCAATGACTATCATTCAAAAATGTAAAGCAGTAAATAGTACAAATACACATTTGATAAGAACTATGCTTTCTACTCATTTACATGAGGAAATAAACATGGAGAAAATCTGCCATAATGCAGAAAGGATTGAATACTGAAATCCAGAATAATACCTCATCAACAGTAAATTACTATCTCAAAGATACCTTAACAACAAGGCAAACAGAAGGTGCAGAGGTCAAATTCTGTTAGCATTACACAATGAGCACAACCAGGAGGGCTTGCCAAAAAGGCAGACTATAATGCCTCCTAAATAGGGGATCAAAAATCTTCCCAGACAGCAATCTATTGGCATAAAAACTAAATGAAGCAAAGAAGTAATCAGAGTGCTTTGTGCACATTAGCACCCGTACCCAATCTAAGGGATGAATGTTGGACTGAGAGTGTAGTTATTCCACTGCTGACAGATGTGTGAACTTCACAGGGAAAGCAGAACTAGCAATTTACTAGCTGCTCAAGACTGGCAACAGCTATACATAATACTCAGGCAAAACCATCTATTTTCCCCTGCAAACCAGTTGGATAAAAATTGCTAGTTTAGCTTAGGAGGAATATAATTTGACAGCAAATCAACATTTCCCCTGCTTTATATCCAACAGCAGAATTCATAGATAGCTCACTCCATGTCGTCTTTGCCTCTACCCTCACTTAACAGCAAATTAATACAGGACAAGGCAACAACAAAAGATCAGCATTACCTCACTCAGCAAGGCCTGGGCTGAACGGTATTCTTGAACCAAGTGCTCCAACTGATTGTTGATGTACTTTTCCCTGCTATTGATCTTTTCCAGTGTTCTGCTGATTTCATTATGGAGTTTGTCAAGGTAACCCTAGAAAATCACATTCTGTGGGTTGACAGTTGACAGAGAATATGCAAAGAGTATCAAAATGATGCTGTAGTTAAGAAAGGCTATGGAAGCCTACAGAGAGGAAAATAGTACAGAAATACTGTGTTTAGCCAACAAAAAATTATTCCAAACATGTTCTGGTTTGCCCACCTCCAAAACACATATTTCAGTCTTTACTGCTTCATCACTCTCCCCTCCTCAATTAATTACAAGTGTCAATGTCAGTAAGTTACTCTAGCAACAGTATTTGAGAGTATTTGGGGGTTTTAACAGCACCTTCAGATTGTATTATTCTATTTTGTCCTCTGTAGTCAGGATGCACTTACGGTAATGCATTCATTACTGGACCCTGATAGCCCTGTTAATCCTCACACATACAACTCTTTCCCAGAAGGTATTTTGTCACCAGCACTGTCCTTAATGATCCTTGTCATATCTTTCCCTTTTTAATTTTACAGCAATAGCACAAAAAACAATGAAGGAAAAAAGATCAATTTAGCCCTTAATGCATTTCAAATAGAAAATAAAAACGCCGACAGATTAGTAAAATATTCTGTACATACAAGACATACCCTAGTTTCTTTCAAAGAAGAATCAATTCCATCCTTATGCTGATGCATTTGATCTACATGAATCCTCCAATCCTAAAAAAGGCATCACAAATTAAAACACAGGTAAGTACAATTTTTATGCTTCTCTGGTTACTAAACAGCGGCACATGTGCAAAGCAGGATCAGTTCTCTTTTATACTCTTGCCATGTATCATCCTGCCAGTGCCATGTTCATAGCCAGGGGCACTGGCTCAATGTGACACAATTTATAAATCTCCTAAATGTCACATGTGACACTCAGATCCATAAACAAACACTGACATCCTCACTGACACCATAGTAGCTATGCTTTTTAGAGTCTGATCTTCATGGAACTATTTCTGCTAGAAACCACTCTGGGCACAAATACTAAAAATATTGATTGTAGCTGTCCTAGTTCAGCTTATTCTTAGACAAAATGACTGTTTTTGATGCCCAGCACCTACCAATTCTGGACTATCTGTTCTTTACCTTCTATTTCAGTCATTACCATTACCAGAAGAAGAACAGAAAGAAAAAGAGGCAGAAATACCAAAACTTGGTTTTGGTAACAGGATACAATTAGAAGGGGGAAAATTATTTCCAGCTTCAAGATGATAGGAAGTTCATGGATGAGTTCATACATGAACTCCAAGGTGGGGGCTGAGAAAAGGTGCTGTGAATGGGCCCTGCACACCAGGTAATGAGTCAATAGAGATAACATGCTTATGTTGTGTTTCACATTTGCAGGAGACTCATGATCCCTCCTTGGTCTGGTGACAGTTGCTCACAATTTGCCAAACTCTGGTATTTAAATAAAAACAACAGGCAGACAACCCACCCCCACCTCTGTCCATGACTTTACAGTAAGCTCTAGTTTCTAGTGCCACTGATTAAACCATTAATACTCTCCTGGTACTATGTTTACATGCACAGCTTAGGAAACAGAATATGTTTTCTGGCACAATGAAAAAAGGCCAAACACTTCTCTCCAGTTATTTCTGAAAGAAGCTAGAAGAAGAATCCTCTTTTTATGTTCATTTTGACATATTCCTTAAGGCAAAGAGATGGTGCATTAAGCAGGAAGCTAGTAAACCTCAGATCCTACAGTGGCTTTAATTTTTCATCTGTCTTTATTAAGTTTTAATTTCTCACTGTGAAACTCAAGCATCATGTTCTCTGCAACAGATGGGCTTGCTGAGGATCACAGCAGAGTGGCTCAAGCCAGGCAATTCTTCACACAGAAAAATGCAGTATGGTGTAAGAGAGGCAAGCAGCTCAGCAGACCGCTGAAGGTTTCCCCTATTTTTGGCACGGTAATTGTCCTTCATTGTATTCAGGTATATGTATTGTATTGCTGTATCAGTGCTGCAGATTGCTGCAACACTCCAGCTGCCTGGGTCACTGCAAATGAACAATTTCCATACTGCACTGATCTGTGTGTGCTACACAAGCTCCTGGAAAGAATGTTTATGGGCAATGCCAGGAGCAGGCCCTAGGTTTGGACCTGCCAAAGATGGATACCTACTTCTAAGCTCATTCTAGACTCCTTGAAATAGACTATGGAGAGAAATACACAGTTCTAAGACATGATGATTTTCACCCTGAGACAGCTACCAGGATATGGTGAGCAAAAGCAGTTGAAAAAGTGATCACTTATTTTCACTAAACATTAGGAGAGTTCAGGATGACTAGACCAGGGTACAGACCTACTTGATTGTCATGTAAAGTTTACCAAGAGGGATTCCATACAATCAGCCTTTCACGTGGTTAAAAAATAGAAGAGTTGAAAGGTAAGATCAGCAGCTGTCCTCCAAGAAGATGTTTTAATAGTTGTTAAACTGAGGATATAATTTTTTAGAAGTGTGGATACATTGGAAATGTCAGAGGACTGAAAAAATCCCCACTGAATAATTATATAAAAATAAGGTGCCTTGTAAGCGGCAGAAAAAAAATATAATATTGAAAAAACACCTTACTGAAAATTATTGCTTCTAGGGTCAAAGCAAGTGACAAAGGTTCAGACAAGGTAGCACTGGAGAGCCCATTACTCACAGGTCTTTGCATGACAGAAGACAACAACTGCAAAAGGAAAGTAAACAGCATCGACTGAAATCACTTTTCAATCACGACGTGTACACAGGCAAATCCATTCTTCCATACCTTATTGTCAGTCCTGACTGTGACTTTCAGCTGTGGAAGCACACGTTCCACTTCCAGATTCCACTCTGCTGCGTCTGTTGTGGACTGTAAAATCTCTTCTTGCTTTGCAGTGTCATTCATGTTCTGTGTAAAAAAGTTTATATACAAAATGTCATTGTTATGCAATGAAATCACTATAATGGCTTGCAGTGTTAATATCAGAAAAATATTTTTATCCAGAATGATCTAGACTACAGATGAAACAGATTTCTTTAATGGCTTTCTTTAATTCTTTAGAATTAAAGTACATCTTCTCATCATACTTAAAACTGAAGACAATTAAATGTATATATTAAGAAATTATAATACATCTCAGAAATGGTATACTTATGTGGGATAAATGTATTAATGAAACTATAATGTTTTTCTGGAAGTCTCTGCAAAAACTTTCTTGCAAATGTTCCCAGTAGCCCTTCAGTGATATCAGTTTAGAAACTGGTTGCACATTGTTCTTTCAAAGTAATATTAATATATAATATCTGATTCATTTCAGATTTTTTTTTCAAGTAAAGACTATGCAAGGATTTTTACATTTAAATCCAACAGACACAAATTGCTGCTACAGATGTAAAAATCTCTCATGAGAGGACTAATGGGTAATAACTTACTGATCTGTATGTTTGTGCCTTTAAAACATTCAGGTCAATATAATTTTCTTCATTGTCTGACTCTTCTTCCTTAAGAGAAGTTTCAAAGCAAGACTTCAGTAATTATTGCACAATTTTTCTCCATAATTTTATTTTGCAGGAGAACAAACCAAGGAGTATTAAGTTCCATATTTCTGAACATAACAAGACATGGAGAATTTATGAAATGGAGCTTATGAAGAGGCATAATACCTAAGACAAGCTGCAAGGTCAAAGCTACCCCACATTTCCTTCAGAGCACCATAGTATTACAAAAATAAACCAACTAACCAACAAAACCCAAACCCTAAAGCCTCTGACATCAAATGGCCCATTGTCAATAGTTGTATGGTAACGGTATTTTTTTATGTATTTCTTAAAGCTCTACCTTAAAAATAAAGCCCCATCAAAACAAAAGCCAAACCATAACCAGACCTCAACACAGTTTTCAAGATGTTGTTTGCACTATGTATTTGAAGTTACAGAACGATGCCACATCTTAAACGTGCAGAATAACACAACTGAATTTGAGGCAATTGCTTTTTTCTTGCCCATGAGAACACACACTCTGTTAACATACTCTATAAATCTGTTATAGTCTCAAAATCCCCTTCTTCTGTGACTATGATCAGCTGAGAGCCCATCACCCATAAGTAATGATGCTTTTTCTGTGCATTAACCTTCATTTATCTATACTGTATTTCATCTGCCATTTTATCACCCAGACACTTCACCCCTACACACCTTGTCCCTCTCCTGACTGTCTTTTCCACCAAAGTGAAATTTCATCATCCACCTCCTTTCTACACAAATCACAAAAGCTGCAATAACGCAGGTCCTAAGGTAAAATCCTTCAAGACTCACTAAAAACCTTGGTGCTTATTTCTCCTTCCTCTACTTTACCCATTTTTAACTAACAGGGACCACTATTTTCCTCTGGCATGTCTGAGCCTGAGCCCCCTAAATACCTGTGAGAAATTAAGACTAAATTAAGACTATCTTTTGCTAAATGGACAATAGATATTTGTGCAGCATTTAGAAGAACACACCACCAGAACACTGGTGGTGGTTATCAGAACTGAGAAACCAAACTGTGCAGATTTTCTTGCACACCCAGCCTCACTGCCTACTGCTGGCCACCTAATACAGGCTATCCCTGATTTACAGAACTAGGCTTGTCTCTGTCAGCCTCATCATTTTTATTCAGAAGAATTAATACCAAAAAACAATCTCATGAACCTCATCATTAACATTTAATTGCTGGAAATACTGCTAAATTCAATTTTGAATACAGCTAATATCAATATAGTGGCAGCAACAATGGACCAGGGAAAAAAATTACATTGGCATGTAATTAATCCCTGTAGAACTACTAGGGGTTTTAAAAAGTGAGTATCCTTTTGGTATAAACTGCCTGGTAATGTAATACCTAGTAAAAGAATAACACCTCAGTGATTTTATTAACACACATATATTCCAAAGAGCTAAAAGAACACATTAGTTATGGAAATCATGGCCTAGGACAGTACCCAAGAACCAACCCAGAGGTTCTTTGAGGGATTTCAACTATGTTTTAGTTAACTTTTTCATCTTCACTTCCCAATTTAGCAGCTTAGACCTCAACAAGATACAGAAAAGAGGAGACAGCTGACTGTTTTCCTATTTTAACTCTTTAGTTTAACATCAAGAGTAGATTTATCAGGAGAAAAGAAACAATTCTGAATCTCAGTGTTTTTAATGCATAGTTAGATTCTACTGCACATAAGAATATACACTCTGTCTTGAAGAGTTAATCTTATCTGAAAAGCCACAAAAAGCCCTACAGAAAATCTGACAATGCAGGAATAGAACTGCAGGAAAAAAACTTGAACAGCTAATTAAAAATGCTTCTTAAAAAAAGCCAAACAAAATGAACAGTGAATAAAAATTTCCTCATAGTTGACCAATACTAATATAATCAAAACCAACCAAATAAACCTACTGCAATATCCTCTTCCAATCTACTAAGTGTTAATTCTGCATCATCTTCTGTTATTTCTTCTTCTTCTGGCTCTTCTGTTGGGTATGCTGGCCTGAAATTAATTCAAAGAATTAATTAAACACAATGAATTGTAAATACCTCTGCAAACAAAATATTTGAGGCGAAAAATGGATGATATGGAACACACCTAGACAGTGATTAGGGTTTTGCAACTTAAATATATACTCTGCCTTGAAAGTCTTGTTCATCTTGGACTGTCTTAAAAGTAAAGGCAGTACAGTACATTCACACTACAAAGCCATCTAGGAAGTAAATTTTGGGGTTCTTCTCTATTGGTCTAACTCTTAAAATTCAACTGCAAGTCACCACAGGCTTATTTGCAGCCTACAGTGGAATTGTGTACTAAAGAGAAGTAACAGTAAAATATTTCCAAGGTAGAAATTACTTTGCTATATCCATTCCAAAACCCATTGGAGGAAAATAATAAAATAAAGAACACTTTTAAAGACATTTTCATATATTTGAGATTATCTGTCAACTAATTTGTCTAGGATTTCCTTCAGATTAAATAAAATTACTCTAGTCTACTTGTAACATGATCATACTGTGCATGACTCCAGGAATTTACTACTGATTGATAGAACCTAAAAGGACATTACATGTTTCAACTCAAATACCAAATAGATTAACAAGGAGTTATGTGTAGGGAAATAACAAAAAAAAAAGTCATCAGTTAAACCTTAATTAGCTAAGTCTATAATGACCCAAACTCAGCCTTGCTGGCAAAAGGCCAGTTGTGTGAAATTGCATTAGGAATTAACTGGCCACCCTGCTTCAAGCCTAGTTGAATTTACCATCTCATGAAATGTCAAGTAAAACGGTTTTAGTCATTCCTATATTTTATCTTACCACTACAACTTACACCTGTTTGCTGGAAAATAATGCATAAGGGAGGATGCTTAGAAGTCTACTGTACCTTTTCCAGCTAAACCCAGTGTGCTTCAAGGCTTCTTCAGCTAAACAATCAAGAACGTAGCACACTTGCTCTCCGCAGCCTGTCTTTAATTTTGAGGGAGGAAAATCCACAGGTCTTCCCTAAAATAAAAAGAGACAGGCTGTTTACTAAACAACCCATATTTCCTCAAAGGGAGATAAGTTCTGTACACTAAAACAAAAGTGTCCCTTGTATATGAGATTTTATTAATGACAATTTACATTCTTCTCCTGTGCAGCTCCAGTGAAGCAACAGAAGGAAAACCAGACCAAGCCAAGGAAAAGATGCAGTGTGGAAATCTTTAAGCATATGGTAAGAGCATACTCCCAGGTAGCAGAAGAGGCAGAAGCCACAAGGGATCTGGATGGTCAAGCACACAAGTGACAAGGCAACGTAATAAGAGCTACAGAGAAACTCATGTATTGAGACTTAACTACCAACTTTTCAACAGTGTCCTGTTTGCTCCAGATGTTACTTATAAAATATTTTAATTTATTGCTGTCATGCAGGATAAACATAGTAGTTTGATGTAGTTTAACTCCTTTAGAGAACAGTGTCCTTAACATCATTCACAGCTGCACCAGAGTATAATCTTCCATAAGATCATACTTCTTGTCAGTTGATATAGTCTCCTGGTCTTTGGAGTTCAGCGTTTTTCCTTTTTTTTTTTAATCAAAAAAATAAAATCTCGGTAGTTCCTAGCAGTTTGTACAACCTTTTACTCCTTAACAAAAAACCAAAAAAAACCCCAAAAAAACAAACAAAAACCAAACCAAACCAAACCAAAACAAAAAAAAAAGGACAAAAAAAAACAACAGCAACAAAAAAAGAAACCAAAAAAACCCACAAACATTCTTCTAAACCACTTCCTACACTACAAATTAAGTCATTGACTTTGGCTGGAGCAGGATCACAAACTGTGTAAACCTTCCAGATGAAATCTCTAAAAATTATGCTACTACAAATGAGCAACATATGTGGTACTACAAAAGGTAAGCCTGGTTAAATCCATTTTACAGACTGCAGAACAAAACCAACTGGAATTATTTATAAGACCATTTCTGTCCTGCTAAAAAAATAGCAAGTAGGTACAGCCTATGTAAACTTCCAATTAACTAAGTAACTCAGTACAAACTTACAGCTAGGAAAAGTCTGTCCAGTCCTTGGGACCAGACCCAGTAGGAGAACAGGGTGTGACTGCTGTTATTTCTGAAGGGAATGCAGAAGCTTGCAACACTGGGAAGAGAGCCCGTGTGACACTCACAAAGGACCGCAGCTCGGAGAGCACGTTTGAAATCACAGCATTGGGGTCGTCGCACTCCTGCGGCTGCTCGAAGGGATGTCCCGCCTTGCTGATCAGCCAAGCTGCAAGCGTGCAGAACATGAAGAACTGCTCACCAGGATTGGTGGGCAGTGCAAAGTAGTGCCTGTTTCAAAAGGGGGCAAATGGTACACAGTGTGAGTTTCTGGAGCTCTTACATTATAGGTAAGCACAGGCTACAGAGCAGTACACAGTGTGAGTTTCTGGAGCTCTTACATTATAGGTAAGCACAGGCTACAGAGCAGTTTCTTTACCTAGTTTTCTCAATGAGCAACCCATCTGACCAAAAATCAGGATGCCGAGTTTCACACAAAACCACAGCAGACCAAGTTTTCTACACCCAGCTTGCTTATTTCCAGCTTTGAGTAAGTTATTAGTCAACACCAGACTCAGCTGCCAAGTTCCCCAAGTTACCTCCCCTTCACACTTTCCTCAAGAAATGCAGGAGGATGGTGTTCCTACATCTGCGAATCCAGCTCAGATCAGGAGCATGTTTTGCAGTGATCTTTCCACCTGCCCTTACCTACTGTGCTTTGGGTTGCTTTGGAGAGCAATGAAAACTGGATCTAACTTGGATCACACCAAATTCAAATATGTGACCCTAACAAGAATTCAGCCCATAAATCCATATCACCCCCCAGAGTATAAATTACATGCACACTGGAGACTGGGAACTTCTGGAAATGCTTCCCTTTACCAACACAGCTACTAACTGAAGTAGCTCACACAAAGGTCTGCTGTCCTGCTCCAAACATTCCAATACTTCAACAGCAGCCTAGAACTAATTTACAGCCACTGTGCTCATACTTGAGCCTCCTTCCCAAAAACAGGGTAACTTGTATTCCCTTACCAAAATGTTGCTTATTAGAAGCTTAATTCTGTGACACCCTGCAGTGGAGCCTGCTGAAAGTGATGGATGGGTTTAAGAGTTATTTGGGCAGGTGGATATTGGGAGCACCCTGGCCCTGTTTCCCAGACTTCCTGTCTCCACCACAATTTAAAAGAAAGACATAAAAAAAATTACATATTAAACAAGTATGTACTGGATACGAAAGCCCAGCCTTACCAAAAAACGGTTCCAAGACCCTCTTTGTAAAGGGTTGAAGAGTATAAAATATACACACACCGTGAACAGCTATCCTGAATTCAAGATATTTAGAGTTATTCTGAACAACTTGGAATTTCGGCAGAACTGTTTTCTGCGGAAGAGGTAGAATTTAGGCAGAATTACTTTTTGCACGGGTACCTCGGCATGCAGATACCCGGTACTTGCCGGGGGCAGGAAAGGTCAAGGGACTATTTACTTATCGCATCTCAGCCTTTCGCGGGGCCTCGCTTTCTGAAAGCTTCCAGCTCACACGGGAAGCTTTGCTACAGGCTGTTTTCCCAGGCATTCTGCCATGCAGGCCCTTCGCTATGCTCTGACGGAATTCCTCCTTTCCGCCGCCCCCCGCCCCCGCCCACGGCCACGCCAGCGCCCTGGGGCCGAAGAGGAGGCGCTGGTCAGAAGCACCTGGATAGAGGCCGCATGTTGTGGTGCCGCAGCGCCTCCTCCTCGTAGCTCAGCAGTTTCAGCTTGTCCAGCAGGTCCTCCATAAGCACGAACATGTGAAAAGCTGCGCCGGGCCCGCGCTCCGCCGGCGGCTCCTCGCCCCGCTCCCCGCGCCGGCCCGGAGCGCCCTCTTCCGCCATCTTGACTCGTAACCACAGCAACAGGGGCGGGCCCGGCGAGGCCACACCGCCAACTCGCGCGGAGCTGGGCAACCTTTCAGCTCTTGGGGCACTTGACGGAGCTGGTGAACTTTTAAACTTTTATCCCTTCCCGAAGACAAATTTCGGAACGCCTCGCTCCGGGAAGGTGCAGAGCGGGCAGCGGCGGTAGCTCACGGGCTGAGGTGCGGTGTTCTGCAGCCGGAGGTGCGGAAAAGTGAGTGTGGGCAGCCAGGAGCTGTGGCATTAGCTGCGGGTCCCGGCTGGACTTGCCCTGGGGCGGGGCGGGGAGGGCAGCGGGTTGGAAAGCTCTGTCTCCCGGGAATGTGCTGGCCCTGGTGGAGCACCTCGGATGCTGTGTCCAGCTCTGGACACCTCACTACGGACAGACTTTGAGGCGCTGGAGCGTGTCCAGCGAAGGGAGAGGGAGCTGGTGAAGGGTGTGAAGTGCAGTTCCCATCAGGAGTTGCTCAGGAAAGACCTCAGCAGTCTTTACAACTTCCTGAAAGGAAGTTGTAGCCAGGTGGGGGATCGGTCTGTTGTCCCAGTTATCTTGTAACAGGACAAGAGGACGCACCCTCAAGCTGTGCCAGCGGACATTTAGTTTGGATATTGGGAGGAATTTCCCCATTGAAGGGGTTTCCAAGCATTGCAATGAGCTGCCCAGGTACCTCACCATCCCTGAAAGTGTTCAAGAAACGACTGGACGTGTCACTTAATGCCATGATCTAGTTGAGAATTTCATCAAAGGTTGGACTCGATGATCCCAGAGGTCTTTTCCAACCCAAATGACTCAGTGAACGCAAGACACACCTCGCCTGTCTACTCCTAACACTACCAAAGTCTGCGGGGACACACCCTTTCTTGCCACTTCTCCCTTCATTTTGTTTGGTGTTTTTTGTAAGCCCTCTTCCCGAAAATACTTGAGTCGTTTTGTTCTGCTGGAAACCAGATGGCACAGACAAAGCTTGAATTGTCCAGAAAGAATAAGTCACTGTTAGGAAATTACTGTTGGAAAATAATTGCCTAACCCTGCAGGCAGCCCTAGGCACCTGTTGTTCCAGATGACCAGCTTCTTGAGAAGAGTGTCATGATTACTTTTACCTTCGTTCTTTTCTCCTGAGCCGGGGGATGTGACCTGGCTCCCGGTGCCGGGTTCCTGCGCTCTGCCCCTGAGGGAATTGGCGCTACCGCTGCCTCCCGAGCGCCTTGGGAGCGGCGTCGTGGCTGCTGTAAGCCTGGTAGAGCTTGCAGGAACTATGGGTTTGCCAGGCAAAATAAATGGTTAAGAGAAAATGTTTTTTAAGCCCGAAGAAGGGAACATAAAAGGTGTGAAATCTTTGCGTGTGTCGAATCGTAGATCTCGCTGTAAAAACAGCTGCTTCCCTTAAGGGGACTGCACGAATTTCTGTGTTAGTTACTCGAGTTCTGAGCCATGCGGGTGGGTCAGAGTGCATCTGGAGAGCGGCAAAGATCAACAGGGAGTGAGACTGCGGAAATTTTCTTCCATTCGGAGTATTTCTCGACAACTGAAGTATGGAGTTAGCATTTAAGTTGTAAGGGTTTCATTGTGGGGAGGCAGAGAACGACTTCTCTGTTTTATTGTGGGACATCTGAAGATTCAGTGAGGAAATTCTAGAAAGCTGGTATCATTGTGGCTGGAGATTGTAGCAGTATGTGATTAACATGTCTTTTTGAGAATTTTACATGCTTGTTTTTCTTGTTTGCTTGTTGGTAAAAATGAAAATCTTCTGGTATTTCCCAGTCCTTGTAAGTGTGTGTATATGCTTGAAATGTGTTTTTGTTAAGTTGCATTGAAAAGGAATAAATAGAATCCTTTGTACTCAGAAATAAATAAATTTTATTTGAAAGGAGAATATTTCAATATGCACACCAACTCTCAAAGAGGTCACAAAGTACACTGGGCAGCCACCAATCCCAATGGCTGTTTGCTGCAGGAGTGCCCTGATCAGGTTTGAGCTTGACTGCAGAGTTCAAAAATGCAGAAATACTTGGATGCAGTTTGGTCACTGATTAACCCAAGAAAGAGAAAGCATGTGTTTGTTTCCTGTAGTGGCCAAAGCAAATGCAGCATTCCCCCTACCATTATTTGAGCTGTTCAGTATGTCTTTGGAAAAGCATTTTAGCACCTTGCCTTGCTCTCAGGAATCCTGGCTGAGCTGTTTTCCAGTTGAGCCTGTGGTGATTCTGTATGAAATAATTCTCCTGAAAACTAGTAACCAATCAGTAACTAACCTGACTGCAGTGAACTTAATTCTACTTGTGCACTGTCTGTATACATTATTTCATATTGATATTTCACCACAAAGCCTTAGGGCATGACTTCTTGGTTGTGCCACTTACGTCTGTGACAAACAGGCATTGTTTGTTGCATGTTTGTTGAGTACTTTGCAGTGTGACTCTAATTACCAGCATACAGACACTTTATCTCTGTAAGTCTCCAGAACTTGCTGAAAAGACTGGCCAGAACCATCCATTTTTTTCTACAGACCAGCATACATTTTTCTCTAATGGGAAGATCCAAAGCTACAGTTTGTGCTGAACATGAAACTTTTCAGCTGAGTAGTTGTAGCTGTTGTATTTTGGAGCAGGTTATGGGGCACAGCTAGAAGGTGGAAGTCAGTGTGCACTGTCCATGCAGCCCCAAAGGCATCACAGAGGTACCACTGGAACCTTGTTACTCTCAGAGCATCACTGCCAGTGAAGGGTGGCATGTCAATTAAACATGGCAGGTCCCTCACTAAGGGAAATAAAGCATTGATTGCGGTTTCTGAAATTCAAACATCAAGCGCAGTATATCTTGTTGATCAAGTTGGAAGTGTAGGTAAATAAGCAAAAAAATCCAATAAAACATGATGTTTTTCTCTACCCCATGCCAGTGCAAGGGGTAGAGAAAGTAGATACTGGCAATTGTTGCTGACATAGAACAAAATTATATATCAAATGTTTATTTTACCATTGCATCTATTTCTACCTCAGATTTAATGTTTTGGTGCCTCTGCTTTTTTGTTTTGTTCTGGTTTTTTCTCCTAAAAGAATAGTGAGAATACATGAAACAAGCACACTGCCTTTTCAAAAGAAATAATACTCAAAAATCTTTAGGATTTAAGATTCACACCCACCACAAATATAGTCTCAGACACTAGTCAAAATTATTCAGAATACTAAAATGTTGGGCTAGCAAGCCTGGCTAAACCAGTTAGAAATGTACCTATAGCTGCCTTTTGGGGAGAAAAAAAAAGGACTAGGAAAATCTATTGAAGACTTTTCAAGTTACTTGATTCATGAGGTAATTTCTCCACTGGGGTATGCTGTATTTTAGGATAAGACTGCATTCTTCCTCCACTCAAGTAATAGTTACAGTAAGGTTATTCTTTTTCTGTCACACATGAGCGGTTCCAGTTCATTGCTGTCTGACAAAACAGAAGATATGATGAGAGTCTCCTCCTTTGCATTCCTACCCTAAATTTCCATGCATGTTTCTGAAAGTGTAAAAAGAGTGAAAAGTTCTCTACATCTGCAGTATTTGCAAATGCAATCAAATTTTCCACCCCAGAAAGTCAAATGTTGCAGTAATCAGAAAAATATTTTAAAAAGTAAAGAAAATCAGGCTTGACAAGGGATGTCTTACATACTTTTGCAAATTTGACTTGACCAGTTTTCCTTGGTGTCCTGTTCAGGAATGAGGAAGATTAATATTCCCTAGCCCTGCAACAACACTGATAGTAAACACTCTCTATTTATTAAAAATAAAGCATCAATCTGCAAGGGGCTACAAGGTAATGAGTGAGCCTCCACTACTATGTAATGCATAGGATCACATAATGAATGACTTAAATGTCAAAAAGTCTGTACCAAGTCTGTTGCAAACAAAAATATGATACAAAGGCCTATAGTCCTTTGCAAGCTGCAGAAAGGAAATTACATATGGACATGTCTTTTATCTGCATTTAAACAGGTTTTATCCCCTGCTTTTATTTTGCCAGTTTGACCTGAATCTATGAACCAATGAAGAAAAATGAAAGGACAGAACATACCAGCTGTCACGATTTGTGTATTTCACATCAGTGCTACACTTTGGGGTAGGTTGTAGCTGAAAAATAATAAAAAAGACCATTATTTTAAATTTTTATTAAGAAGAGCTAGTGAATTCAAGCACTGTTTATTAGGGTAAAGAATCAATTTTGGGTAATGTAAAACACTTCTGAAGCCAAAGACTGCTTGTCAGGTGGCTGCATGGATGGCTGTGGCCATTGAGCCCCCAGACTGTTACCTGTCAATGTTTCTGCCCCACTGGCTCAGCAGGCAGTGCTTTTCAGTTCAGACTGAAAATGTTTTGCATCAAATTGGCTGACTTTGCGTTGAGAAGACTAAGGAAAAGTCATTTGGATTGTTCTGCCAGATGAGCTAGAGATGGGACCAGAATGTTGGGATGGCAGCTGCCCCTGGGCACTCACTACCAGCCTAACAGATTGTCTGACCTTGGCCAAGAAGTCAATGTGATGATGCTAAGTCAATGCAGTCAGTTTTTTGAAAGATTAATTTTAAATTTCTCTTGTATGCTAGCAAGGCCTAACTTAAATGTTGACAGAAATGAGATGCTACCACTTGTGTCAATTTTTGGAATGCACACCTTAATTATCTCAAGGCGCTGAGACAGAGCTTCCTCATCCTGTCTGTGGTGGCAAAGCTGTTTCAGGAAGTTCTGTCCTTCCCATCAGTTGCAGAGCCATGTCTTTTTTCCCTGTGATGGTACAACTGCTTGGCACTGTGTGAGGGTGGTTGGTAACACGGGGCATTGCAGCGTGGCACTGTGAATGTTTGAACATGTAGGAAGCTGCAGCTCAAAAGGCTTTTAAAGTCTGAGATGGAAAAGATGTGGTTCAAAGTGTGGGAACGCATTTGGAGCTCAGGTGGTAAGGTGGCAGTGTGCTGATTTGAGAATGTAGGTGCTTACTTGGGATTCCTACGTAAACTGATTAGAAGTTCAGTGAGCAGAGCTCTGTGTTATCATCCTGATTAAACTGAATGGACACCCTTGCTGTCCCAAGAGACTCATGTGACAGCAAAGTCATTAAAGAGACGTTGGCACACCTGCAAGAGCATTTTTTTGTCAGGGATAAATAGGTGCAGAAATATACTTGTAGACTGGATTAAACTTAGTCATTTATACTTATGGACTTTAGGTTTTACAGAACAGGAAGAAGTAACAGGACTGTTTTCCAAGGATTGCATCCTCCCTTGTCGTTTCCCACCTGGGCATGATGAAGTAATTCACTGGAGAAAAGAGAACAAAAATGTTCACAGTTACTACCAGCAGAAGGATCAGCTGGGACAACAAGATCCACATTACAGACTCAGAACTCACCTTTTTCATGAGAACATCCCTAGTGGAAATGCCTCCTTGAAACTTAGTAACCTGACCATGACTGACGAGGGCTCTTACACCTGCTATGTGGGAACAGCGCAACATCAAACAGAAGTGGAAGTGCAGCTACGAGTTAAAGGTCAGTAAGGCATCAAAAACTCTTGGATCACACCACCGCAAATGGAATGGCACCAGCAGATTTCCTTGTGTTTCTCCCATGGAATCAAAATCTTCCAACACAGCAGAGCACCTTTTGGGCCTGATGGTGTTATGCAGCAGTTTTTTCCTCTGGTGAAATATTGCAACATGGATTGGAAAATTTTAGTGCAGCACTTGTTGTCATAACCTACAGCACCTTGATTTCTAAGGGTTAATTATGTGGTACACATAATGTAGCTTCTCAGAACTGTACATATCTTGGCCTTGTAAGTAGCTGTGCTTTCTTCTGAATTCAAACACAGATGAAGTTTTGTTCTCAGCTATATTCATTCTCCCCAATGGTATTTCAAAAGAGTAATCGCTTCAGTTAAAAACCATTTTGTAAGTAGTAAGATTTATTTTTAAAATTATTTTTTCATCTACAGCTCCTTCTTCTTATGCACTGGAATACCAAAAGACAAACACAGAAAGGAGACTGAAGTGCTATGCTTTTCTCACTTATCCAGCACCAACTATATCTTGGATACAGGGTAGTATATCCATCCAGGAGACAGATCGGGAGGAAACTAGGAATGGAGTTCTCTATTCTCTTAGAAGTGACAAGGACATTATAAATGTGACAGATACTTACCAATGTCATATTCATTTGGATCATGAAGTGTGGGCTGCTGAATGGAAGATGCAAGGTAGGAATGAAATCTCTTTCAGCATTGTTACTGAATTTCACAGCTGGCTTCAAAGTCAAACTAAAGACAGTCTTTCTGCAGTGGGGCAGCATGGAGATGGGACAGTGCAAATGGATATACCTTTCTCTTGGAAATGCATTTGTTAGGATTACAAGGCAGCATTACCAGTTGCTTCCAAGAAGTAGGAATGAGAGGGGCTAGCTCACCCTTCTATAAGTTACTGTTACTCTTAACATCTCTCCTATATCAGTTTCACATTTTAAGAGGTGCCTAATAAACAAACTTTACCCTCTATCAATAAAAGAATTCTGCCCATTGGACAAAATACATGGAAACCTTGGAGAATATGTGGGTTCTGTGAGGGAGGTGAAAGTTTGAGTGCTGCTCTACCTGCATATGATCTGTTTGATCCTTTCATTGTGCTTCTCTTCACATGCATCCTTAAGTACCAGTCTGAGTGCTGGCTGTGTGGGGAGCAGCAAACAGTTTGCATTTTAGTGAGCAGCAGCCCGTTTTTTTTAGTTAAGGAAAAGCAGGACTATGAAATTTCAACTCTGCTTTGTCTTCCTCCTGAATTTCATTGCAAATTCACTTTGAGTAGATAACTGGTGGTTTTCAACCTTTCCAGTTTCTTAGGAAATATTTTTAGTTGAAGGAAGAGCAATGCAAGAGCAGTTCTCTTGTGAGATGTGCATGGATGCTTCCATCATCCAGATTACCCCCTAAAGTGTATCCAGACACTCTCAGTGCCTAACCCACTGCATAAGCTTCAGAACAAGAGTGCAGTTTTTAATTTACATGGAATTGCTTACAATATGGAAAGTTGCAAGTATGGCATCTTAGTAGCTACCAAGTGCACTGTGTCTCTTTTGTTATCTATGCCTGTTCCACAAGAGAAAAAGGTACACTCCATTACACACATACTTGGATTTCCCTGCATCCATATAACCCCTCAGTAGAACATTTTGAAAACAAACTGTTCTCCTTTTGTTTCTGTAGTAGCAGTGTGGGGTACAATTCTGGGTTTTTTTGTCTTCATGATTTTTCAGCCCCACACCTTTGTTCATTAACCCTCCCCCCCAGAAATCAAGTGTAGTTATACCATGTCAAAATAATCTATTACCTTCCTCTCCAGCCACCACTGCTGTCAAATCCCTGCTGTCAAATCCATAATTGTGCTATGATGTTAATTTGTCTTGTATTAGTATTTTATATATTAGGTGTTAATTCCATTTACCTGCCTTCTCCTTCCCTTTCCTGTTTTTTTAAAGCTATTTATTAATTGTTAAAGGTTCAACATGGACAAGTAAAGTACTTAAGTTCACCATAACTGAAAGTTATTTCTAACTACATACAATCTTTTCATTCTTTTAGTTAAATTATGTTGTGTTTTATCCTTTTGCTTCAGGTGCGCAGTTATCTGATCAGTTCCATTTTCTGTCTGCTCCCAGCATGTGGAATTTCCTGCTGTTTTACACAGACTAGACTGAATCACTTCTATTAATGAGCCCCTCACTTAGAGGAAAAATAGGCAATTTTTAAAAAAAAAGGATATTCATAAATATTGCCAATACCAATTAGATTTTTGTGTAAGATACGTGTGTTTTTAAAATCTTCAGATGCATCTGCTTCTAGAAACATACTGTGATACTTGAATGCAATATCAAAGTAGTGAAATATGTTTTTGTATTTGTTCATGGTAGTATCAAACCTAAGAAAAAAACCACAGAATGTCTAAATAACCTTCACAGTATTTTCCAAGAAAAGTGCAGAGAACTCTTTGTCTGTTTCAGAGCACCTGCCCAAGGTGGAAGGAGAGAGCACCGTAATTCCTTGTGAACACGGCCTTGACACTGCAAGCACTGACGGTTTCAGTGTTGTCTGGACATTGCACAGAAATGCAGTGGCCTCAGTCCTGGCCTCCTTTAATGGCACATCTCACTCTCACCAGCCTCGAGTCCAGCTTAACGAAAGTGACTTTTCGCTGAGGCTGGATCATCTTACTGCAGGCGACAGTGGAGAATATCTGTGTAATATTTCAACACCTCTCTACACAAAACTTGCTGTGACAACTTTGCGTGTTGGTAAGTTGCCACTCCTTCCATTTCAGAGGATGAGGACCAGGATCAGGACCAATCTCAAAAATAATCATTACATAAAAAGAATCAGTACTACAACAATGAATTAAAAACTAGTCATGGAAACAGCTCTAGAGTTCAGAATATACCCCTTGAGGAGGGACATTGGCTCCACTGGAAGATGCTTTTCTTTGTGAATGGATTCAGCCTTCATTACATGAATTGGGTGAGAAAGTAGTGGGACAGCAGTGACAGCTGCTTGCCAGCTCTCAGTACGCTGATGCAAGATGCACTTATTTTTGTGTAATTTGGTGTGACTGGTACAGTTGGGTGGAAGAGAGACGTTTTATTTTTGTTGGCTCAGAAAAAAGAAAGTTACCAACTATGTGTTTATTTAAAGACTAGAAGTTTATTTTTTTCAGTCAGCAGCTTATTGTGGCAAAGGTTACAAAATCAATGTCTGCCTTCAGTTGCCACCAACTGCTCTCATAGCTGGGAACACAGCAGGGCTCTCAGAGTTCTATCCTAAACGCTCTGCTGACAGCAAACATAGTTTTAAATGTAGCAGAGAGATGATGGGAAGCCCAAAGCTTGTGGTATAAGTTTGGCTGCAGAAGAAAGCTTGTTGAGAACACACAGTTGTTATTTTCAAAGCTTTAATTCTACACAGCAGGCCTTTTTTAGGCCTGGGGATATATATGTTTAAATGCATGCCTGTGTTTTTATGAGCTATAGTAAATTCCCAGCTGTGAAATCTTACTTACAGTTATTTCCTTGTCAGTAGCACGTACAACAGTAGCACACAGACATTTCACACAATTACATACAATCACCAAAAAGATTGAGAACTAATAGAGGACACCTCTTCTAAACAAAGAAGAGAACTTGAAGCAAGCCAAGCAAATAAGACATGAAAAATAGAGACGACAGAAAAGGGGGTAGAATAAGTGATAATAACTAGAGATGAGTACCTTTGTGGCTTTCAGCACAGCCTGAAAGCAGATAAGTGGCTAGAGACAGTAGGGAATGGGCTGTCCATGTTGGATAGCAGCCATAGCACAGCAGCTGCTGAGCAATCAGAAGGGTTTCCAAGGGCCACCGGAAAGAGGCTTTTGAGGGGAAAAAAGAGATTTACAATCATCTCTCCTGCATAAGGAAGGGTTGCAGCTTAAAGCTGGTCTTCTAAAGGAATTTACAAGATGTAAACATAGGTCTGCATGTGGTTACAGAGTCAAGCTAAAGGCAATGACTAGATTAAATGCTGTTTTAGCAGTTTTTATTCTTTAGCTGTTTTCCAGACATCCATAGGAAGTTTCCAGAGGAATGCACAATTTTTCAAATTCTTTGGACAAGACACAGTAGGGGAAAGACAACCTGAGGTAGAAGAGCCATGCAGTTCTTTTGACAGTTTGGTGCTGTGCAGAGGTTTCTTCTAGGTGGGCTTTGATCTCCTGTGGAATCCATGGTTATCACTCACTCATCTCAGGATTTCTTGTGTCCACCTGGATTGCATGGCTGCACTATGGAGCAGGGCAATGTTTCAGATTAAAGTTGCAAAGATTTTGCAGCAGGAGTCATGAAATTTAAGATCCAGGCTGGGTAACATTTACAGAGCTCCTCTACTGTAAATCAGTAGTGCTAATGGCACTGAGCACTGTACCTGGAGACAGTGCCCAGCACACTGGGGAGTTGATTGGTTTTAAATGGGAAGTTGTCAAATCCTATCCCATGAGCACACATGGAATTTGCTATCAGCGCAATTAAGTAAAATAATCTGCTTTCGGCTAGTCACACTTAAGTCAGTAAAGTACCACTTCAAAATCTTTCACTATGAGTCAACTAACTTGAACATTGTTGTCCTTGTCTGAGTTTCCTTGTAATGTTTCTTTCTCCCTAAATCATACCTTTTAGATAATAAATAAGAAAAAAATCATAGCTTTGATATATTTATTGAATAGTAAGCCCTTCTTTTTTGTACTTGTATTTTTAAAGAAAATTCAGGTAACACAGGAAAAATTGTGCCAGGAGTGCTTTGTGCTGTGGTGGCAGTAGCAGTGACAATAGCAGTGGTATTTTGCTATCTCAAGGTATGTACAATCATTTTTTAAGATACTGTTGATACCAAGCCCCTCAAGATTTGAATAAGGGTTGAGCCAAACTTTGGAACTTTAAAAAAATTGATAATCAGTAGCTGTAGCTAGACAGCTGTGATTAAACAACTGCATTGTTAGCATTGTTTGCTATGCTGATCTTTTCCTTTTCGGAAAAGGGAAGACAATCCCAATGTGAACGGGCTGTCTGGACAAGGGGCACCAGGAGTAAAGTCCAAAGAACTGAGCAGTAAGTGGGGAAAGGTAATTCTGGCAGTGGGAGATTGAAATCCATTGACGACCTCCTCAAAATGCACCCCCAACTCAAATTGAAGGGAAGTACCTAAATCCAGACCTTGAATGTTTGTCTGAAGATTTTGTCACAATCTGAATTGGGTAAGCTTCAGGAGGCATTTTATGGGTACCATGAGGTAGAACAAAAACACATTAGAAAGAAAACTGAAATTATTATGCCTCAGTCTTTTTTCATTTTTTTCTCTACACAGAGATTCACTTGCATGCTGCTTATTAAACAGTTGTAACATGCTTTAGAGATGATAATATAATTTGAGATGCAGTTGTCTAAACAATTTAAGCAAGATTAAGTTATCTTGGGACCTATTGGGCTGTCAAACATGTCATAATCAGAGGAAGTGGAACAGTTGACAGGTTAATTCAGCTCTGGTTACATTGATGGAGGGCTAGATGGAAAAACCAGGAATGTTTCTGCACTGTTGTGTGCATGCTAATTTTACTCAGATGAAACTAAAATAGAAAATGCTGACTTATCTTTATGGTGAGCATGTCTTATTCTTGTTCCCCCACTAGAGGATTAATTTTACACATCAGTAGTTCTTATAAGTATTTTTATTTTGTCTAGAAGAAAAAGAAGAGCGGAATCATATAGACACCTTGACATACAGGAAGAAAATTCTGCACACAGATACTGCTGAGACTGGTGATGAAAAGAACAAAGAGTTCCTCCACCTTCCCCTTTGAGTTACTGTAAGAGCCACATGGAAATGTGATTTTCTGAGCAACAATAGCAGACAAATGGGGAGGAAAAAAGTCAATGGACACTTTGTGAAAAGTCATGGAGCAGGGCATCTCACCCCCCACATGAGCTTATCTGTTGCTTTTTAACTGGTGAGTTAGCTCAAACCAGACAGAGCTGTCTTGTAGTGAGTTATTTTGGCACCATGGGATTACCACCTGGAAAGAAAAACTGGAATTCTGACTGACAGGCACTTGCCTTTACAAACTATATAATTTATATCAAAATATATAATTTATATCAAACATCCTCATTTTCCTAGAAACGTGGAGTTTTTCCTCAGAGCAGGGACACCTGCTTTCCTCTGGAAGCTGAGTATTTCTTTTGCTAGTTTTAATATAGGTAGCTTGATATCATGTACTGTTTTATGTAATCTACTGGTAGTTCTTTTGTTTTATACTGTGTCAGAATTAACTCAGGTTAAGACCTTTTATGTGTTACCTCCTATCTTTTCAATAAATAACTCATTTTATAAATAGACCTGATCTGCCATTCTTAGAAGCTGTGGGCTAGAATGATTTCTTAAATTTAAGCTGTTGCCAAAAATCTGAGGCTAAGGCAGGGCTTCTGTGAAGCTCCCACTTGTTCTGTGACAGGTCAGCATGCAAAATTGGATGTCCTAAAGGGACAAAGAAGTTTCCAGAGAAGAAATCCCTAAATTTTGAGTTTTGGTTGGATTTTTTCTGGGGTGAGGGAAAGAGAGCTTACTGGTTTTTATTTCATTTAGTATTTAATTTTAAAGTAAAGACCATGTTTGCTGTCGACAGTGGCAAGTCCGAGCCCAGCAGAGCGTGCTGGGCTGGCAGCGCTGGGGAGAGCAGAGAAGTGTCCGAGTGGGAGCAGCTGTGGGGAACAGAACAGTGGCAGACTGAGGTGTGAGAAGCTGAATGCTGCCAAACACAGCCTAGCACAGTGGTCTGGAAAATGAACCGTGTGACATGGACGATCCAGCTTCTGGGTGTTTATCCGTCATTGTTCTCCATTGTCTTGGGCTCAGGGATAGGAAATGTGGGAGCCTCCCCCACCTGCTTTTGTCCTGGGGGCCACATGTTGTGTGGGAATGGTTGCCACCTTGTCCTAGTCTGGAAAAACACGTGGAGCTGGCAGCACTGGACCGGCTGCCATCTTGTCCTTGTCCCAGGGGACCACATGGGCATGACCTATGGGAAGTGTCTGCCATCTTGTCTTTGTCCCAGTAGCCATATGGAACTAAGTTGAGGTGGTGAACACCTTTGTATGGGTAAAGCATCTCTTCTTGTATACTTTTGTTACTAACATTGTTGCTCTTTACTTTCAGTAAATTATCTCAACCCACAGTCTTTGCTTTTGTCTCTCTCTTACCAGAAAGGGGTGGGGGGAAGGGGAGGGGCTTATTTGGAGTTTAATTTTCTGGCTGGTGTTAAACCATCATGGACCAGTTCCCCGTTTAAAGGCAAGATTGAAAAGAGCTCTTTATTTCTGAGCCACAGGGAGGTGTCCCTTGACGCCATCTCCTGTGCCTATCATGCAGCTGGCAAAGAGAAGTCCCTTGACTGGTGGTAGTAGAAACTTACAAATTGACTGTTCATATGGAAATCTTTACTTTCTCTTCTATAAAACTCAGGGTCCTACACGCAGGACAAATGGAAGCTGGGTTTTCCCATCTTTAAGGGCTGTCCTTTCCACAGGTTTAATCTGTGCTGCTGTCCTGGTTCCAGCCAGGACAGGGCTATTTTTTTGCAATAGCCATGAGGAAGCATGACCAGAACCCTAATGTTATTTGATGCCACCCCACTTCATTGGGGGCGGGGGTGGGGAGAGGGACTGTCTGTGCAGGTTCCTTCAAGGAGGGGTCCAGAATGAGCATTTCTGCATGTGCATCACCCTCTCTTTTTTATACTTTTTAAAAATTAATATTGTTGCTGTTACTATTAATTTTCTTATCTCATTGCTGTTTCTGGGAAATTGTTCTTGGCCCGTGTTTTTTCACCTTTTGTGCTTTCAACTCCCAACTCCATTCCAGGAGTAGGAAGGGGAGGAGGAGCAAGAGAGTGGCAGTGTGGTTTGGGAGAGTGAAGGGAGAAGTACTGTTCATAAACCAGGACAGCTGCTTTAATAATCTGCATATGAAATACATGAGGCTGTGCAGCATGACTGGATTTGGCCTTAGTTTTGATTTTGTCAGAGATCTGCCAATTAGGATTTGTTCCAACATAATGAAGTCGGCTGTTGGCGAGATGCAATCTTCTATTGATCCCTAAGGCTTGGCAAAATAAAAACACAAATAAATGAATTAAATATGCTATGCAGTCTATTTGGATTTTCACTTGATGTTTATTTCTGTAAGTGCTTATTTTTTCTACATCTGCTTTCAGTTGTGCCTGATTATGTCAAGTATTTTCTCTCATATTTGTCAGCTTGGACTTTTTTATTCCTCTTCATGAACCTGAAAGGCAATTGAGATAGTATGCAACTGTTAAAAATAGAAATGTCAAGAGGTTTTAGTGTAAGTTCACAAATAAGTGACAAAAGCTGCACTAATGCTTCTGTTCCCTGGTATTACCAGTTTGTATCTGAAATAGACTAGCAGCAGTCTGGCCAACATTTGCCATCTTATTCCAGCTAACAGTGCAGGTATCCTGTCCTTTTTCTGGATTATATAGATCCTTTTGATGGCAAAGGACTTCTGCAACCCTTTTTTAATTGATGATAGTGCTCTGAATGACACACACTCCCCAGAGTATCCAGGAAATGGGTACTCATAGCAGTAGACAAGGTATTTCTAATGCTGCAGGATTAAAGTAGTCTCTGCAGTGCCCTTCTCTTCCCAGAGGAGATGTTGTGATTTTTGGGACAACAGTCTCCACCTGAATGTGTTTCCTGGCAGCTCCTACAGTCACTGCCACAAGACCCTTCTTGTGGAGCTGCCACCGCTGCGTGCGCCACTGAGCTCATCTTTTGGCCACACTCTGCTCCATTGCCAGAGCTGCAGTTGGTGTTGGCAAACAGCATCCGACTAGTAAAAACAGGCATCCACTTTTCTGTGACTTCTGCATTTTTGAAGCAGAAAGAGGTTACCAGTAAGGTCCAGGAAATAAACAGCAACCTTAACAGTATTTAAAAAAATAAATTATTCTCATGGTGTACAGTGTTTATTTGATGCCATGGCTTTGTGAATCTTTAAATGAGTTTATAGTGGTTTTGATTTTTTTTTTTTTTCTGTAGGGGTAGAATAATGTAGAAAAATCTGTGGAAATTTTTTATCCTTAAAAGCTGCAAATATTTTGAGGTTCCATTGCAGTATTGCTTCCATTGTACATAAATGTGTGATGAACCAGATATTCAGGTAGTTTTAATGTGTCTTTTCTCTGGATGGTGGAGTAGCAGTAATTTATATATGTCAAAGGTAATTTCATTAGGCCAATACAAAAGCAGAAATTAAGAGCATAAAGGCATTTTCTCCCTTTCTTAGCTTGGGAGCTATCAACTCCATAAAACATATGTGATGTTAAGCATGGAAGTTTGTTAAACTTGCAAATGAAATAGATTTAGCAGTGACCCAGCTCCTCTTTCTATCATTCCTAAAAGTAGCAATCTCACTCTTTTTTTGCCCTGTTTGCCACAAGGCATCCATAGATAAGTTTGCTTTCAGTTCCAGACTAAGTTCTTAAGTGCCTTCTAGTTTCATTAACATTTTGGTGCCATTCAGTTCAAGTGCAAAACACAACAAATATATTTCTAATCACTAATGACTTCCCAGCACCTAAGTGACTAATGACCAATATTTTCTTTTCTTTTCATCCAGCTCTTCCAATCAATACAAGTTCATTGAAAGAGCAGTGTTAAAATATCTAATGTGGTAATATCCAGGCTCTATTACAAACATAGAAATTTCCATCATCAGGGAAAGAAAAAGGTGGAGTCTTTTAATATCCCTCGCAAAAAGAAACCCCAAAACCCAAAACAAACCCACCAAATCACCAATTTTGCTTCTGCTGCTGAGAACAGAGGTTAAATGACAACAAAAATACAGAGAATATATTTTGTGTAAGGGTCAGATTGCTGTCCTACAGGGTTAACTTAATATTAAAATAAAGGGCAAAGCGAAACAAAACAAATGTAGAAACCCAAGAATTTATCCTAGTCTACACAACTTTCAGAGATATAACAGATACAGAGGACCCACTATTATGTGTTAAACACTCACATCTACCCCATACATATGACCATACCTTTTTCATGCCAATGTCTCTTGACTTGCTCCTCAGCTTATTAACTTGAGATTCAGCTATTTCAGCCCTTTCTTCAGCATCATCCAGATCATGTTGCTGTTTTCTGTACTTCGAGAGGTACAGATTCGCTTGAGCTTCCTGTTGAGAAAAAAGAGTGCAGCTGATTTCCTCCTATCCACATGAAACAAAGCTTTTAATTTCAAGTGGGATGGAAAGTGCTCAGCATGAGTAGGTAACACCTGCATGGGCACCACTTGCCTCCTGCAGAACTGAGATTGTTGTTTTACAGAGTTGGTATTTCTAGGGGCATTTTCCACGTTAAATGAACGAAGAGGCTTTCAATGTGTCTTCTGAGGGGCTAGGAGGGGCTGAGGGCTGTTTGTTCCCTTCCTCCCCTTCTCTTGCAAATTATACTGCAATCTTAGGTTAAAATGGAATACTTTTTCTTAAATATAATCAACACATATGCTATATATTTTACTTTACATATAATATAAATACAGTTTTATATGCAGGGCTTATATAGATATGAAAATAATTACGGGCACAAAATGTGTCTTTGTACTAGAAATTTCTATGGATAAAACATTGTAGGTTTAGAACAATACATCTCTCAGAGGTAAAAAGGTCCAGATAGTTACTTACAGCTTCCTCTGCTTGGTGCTTGTAACTCTTCACTTTTAATTGTAGCTTGTCAATCAGATCCTGCATCCTGGCAAGATTCTTCTTATCTTCTTCTGACTGTATCAAAACACCATTAATTGTGTTGATAGTGTAAAAAGGCTTAAAGCATCTACCACAATACAATAATTATGGATGCCATATTTTAGAAACTTATAGCTCAAAGCACAAACTAGCCATGTCCAAATTTCTACATCGTCATTGAAGATGTGTGTGTAGGGGTGAAAACTGAGACTACCCTTCCCATGTATAGATGTATATACATTTTATATAAATTTATATAAAGATATATATGTGCACACACTTTTAGAGGTGTGCAGATACACACTGGCAGAGTTCCTTGCTCGAGGGTGAGGAGCATGCTTGTCATTATAAAGCATGTCATTATATATTGAAGCAGATATGGGAGAGCCTAGAACTGTGTAATTTGCATAATTTGAAGTTTGATTTGCAGGCATTTCTGGTTAAAAAAGCTGTCATGCTCCACAAGCAGAGGGACCAGCTAATTCTGCCTGCACACTGCATTAAAGAAAACAACCTTCAGATGCTCATACAAAAGTTAAACAACAGGTAGGAGGCTAAATAATCTCCTAAGGCAGATGGATGGGTTTATCTTCTTAACGGTGTTCAAAGAAAAAGGGTAAGTGCTCTGTGCTGCAGGCCTTCTTTGAAGGCCAAGCAGCATGAGCAGCTGTTAGCAAGCCTGCAGGAGGCTCAAGACTAGACCCTGCTGCTCAGTAATAGAGACCTAGGACTCAGCAACCCTATGCTGAGCAGGGCATTAGAGCCACTGAGTCCTTCTGGCTCTTTTTCGCAACAGCAGGACAGCTGAGAGGGAGCTGGGCTCTTTCTTCCCTTGCATTGTAAACAGCCTAGATTGAAGCCTGTTCCATATTAATACTGTGTTTAAAATGTCCAAATCCCAGCAACAGAGGCTTTCTAACATTAGTTACAGCAAATCAGGCAAGAGGATGATGATCACTGGCACAGGATGCCCAGAGAAGCTGTGGATGCTCCATCCCTGGAAGTATTCAAGGCCAGGTTGGATGGGCCTGTGAGCAGCCTGGTGTAGTGGAAGGTGTCCCTGCACATGGCAGGGGCATTGGAATGAGATGATTTCCAAGGTCCCTTCCAACCCAAAGCATTCTGTGATGGAAGCCGTAGGGAGATTTATCCCTCCTGTGTCTAAAGCTTCCAGCAATCAGAAAGCTCTGACTAAGGCCATCCATCCTCCTTTACTGTAACCCTGAGGCTATTAATGATGTGTCTTGCCAGTTGCCTGGTGGTTACTGCATACCTGGTAAGTCAGCTCCTTTATGCGTCTCTCGAACTTGCGGGCTCCTTTTTGGGCATCTGAATTGCGACGGAGTTCAGCCTCAAGTTCATTCTCCAGCTCACGAACCTGCAACAAAGGAAAACCCCTT